TTAAAAATATTTGATATTATATTTTAATAAAAATAATTTTAAGTTAAAATAATTTGTAAGTAAATATTACCTAATAAGTTGTTTCCACTAAGTATAAATCATAGATCGTCCTCGATAGTGGAAATTCACTTGGATATAAAATTATTATTCAAGACCATAAAAATATCATAAAAAGTTACATATATAAAAGCAAAAGCAAAGAAATTAAAGTATATGGATTTTTTTTAGCTAATAAAAATATATGGAGTTGTAATTTGTACACAATTATTTTTACGTAGTACATCTTTCAATCAACTATGACACAAATTTAAAAAATTTAATTCAAGTTTGAACTAAAATTTTTATTTAAACTAAAATCTCTTTTCCTATTTGAGTATGTAATTGTAGCTCATGTTTATATAAGATGTTTAATTTATTTAGTAGTATTTGTTTTATTAGAGAAACAAGCTTAGTTTGACTTGAACTATATAAGTTTAAGCTTTAATTCTTCTATTCTCTTGCGACCATTGTGTTGCTTTCTGCAGTGCAAACAGCCTACTATAGCTCTTATCGACGGTGCTCAAGACTGCAAGTGGGGCCTAAACAAGTTTGGCATAATAAAGCAAATTGGCGCTTGCAGTGGTCAAAACAAGACTTTATTAAATAATCTTTCAATCCGATTTTGCCTCTATAATTTTGTAACCATATATTTATCCATATTATACAGTAATTAATAAATATGATAATTTAAAATATAATATAATAATACAATATAAATATAATTCAAATGTGAGATACAAAAGTGATACGATTTAAAATTTTAATAATAATTATATTTAAATTTAATAAAATAAAAAATTATATTTTATATTTTTATGAAAACATAAATTATAACATATAATTTTTATATAAAATATAATATAAATATATGATACAAATACATGAACTATTAAATTTAGTAAATCAAAAACATTGAATCCTTGTGATATATATTTAAATATTGTTAAGGAGACAACACATCAAATGCTTTAAAAATTATGATGTTTGTATGAAAAATATAGTAAACCGTCATATTCAACTGACGATATTCGTTCGTACGTGAAAGAGCTGGATTTTGCACCTCCATTACTACTTTTTGGATACAAAAATTCTTGACTGTTTGCAATTGTTTGAACAAAGAAAAGATCTAATCTTGTCCCCCAAAAAAAATCGAAGACTAATTTCTTTTAGCATATAAATTGAATACCAATGAAATTTTGCATAGGACCTTTTTTTTTTTTTTGAAGTTTTAAATTTGTTTTGCAATCTTGTTACCATATAAACAAGTATTACCCTTTTCTTCTTTAAAACTTGATCAAATGGGTTCAACATGATTAATATTCAACTATATAACTCTAATAATTATTATTTGCTGACCTTATTATAAGATTTACATATTATACTTACTATAGAAGTCCTCATTCTAATTTTCTTCTTTATATATTCTCTTGCGGCCATTGTCTTACTTTTGTAGCAACATAATTTAGCTCCTTATAGCTGTTGCATAGAAGAGTTCATGTATTGGGTTGGGCTTAAAAATGATATTAAAATTATATATATATATATATATATTTATTTATTTATTTATATATCTTTACCCGACCACTAAAAAAAATGGGACGAGCCTCGAGTTTGATCGAGTAACTCGATCGACCTTCAGATAAAATGATGTTGAGACTACCAGCAAGTGGGGCCTAAACAAGTTTGGAATAATAAAGCAAAGAATACTAATAGCTTGCAATTTGAACTGGTCAAAAACCCCTTTATTGAATAATCTTTCATTCTTATTTGCTTCTAATAAGTTGAAAATATTGGTTTTTTAAAGCATATATTTGAAACTTTCTAATGGGATAAGATATCACATGCATTAAATGAAAACTGTGGTAGTTATATGATAAAGTACTGTCATATATCCGCGAGCTTAGAGAAATATTGTTCGATTTTGAAAGAGATGGATTCTATGTCGCGCATCACTTCAATTTTTTCGAGACAATTGCGAAATGTAAGATTAATCTGATATGAATTCACAATTATTTGACTTTTATAAAATATAGAGCGAGCATTTATTAATTATTATATGCTAAAAAGTTAGCTTTTTTTTTTTTTGTCTGCATGATCTTATAAAACTTCAAAAGTATGTTGGACTATTGGACTAGGAATAAAATAAAAGCAAGTTGGCTATAGGATTTGTTTTTAAAAGGGTGAATTTGGAAGCCAAATATATGTAAAAGGTCACATGTGACATGACCCATAAATTACCAACTATATAAATTGGTCAATATGGGTCCTTCACTCTTAAATGATTTATTTAATTATTGTTTTAATCATAGTCACACTTTCTTTAAAATAGAACTAATTTGATTAAATTATTGTAATTTAATAATTTATTTATTTTTATCAAAAAAATAATTTATTTGTTAAAGTCTAGTACGTTTTAAAAAATAACAGCATTACTGTGCTTTATTTCTCGCTTTTATTTCGTTTTCACCATTTTACAATGCACATAATAAAATTAATTAAAATGAGAAAATTGGCAATAAATTTTTCTTTTATTTTTTTAGCATAAAAGTTATTATAGGTTTATAATAAGAGAATGTATTATACGGTATAGATTTTGACATTTATTTTTGAGAAATCAATTAAAATTATATATATTTTTCATTTGTTATATTATTCAAATTTGTAAGTGAGTGTCAAATACGAATATGCGTTGAATATAGATGTACTTTTTTTTTCAAAAATTTTCATATATTTGGATTATTTGATCTTCGTATCCACATTTATTATATATTTATCAAATACTCACATTTATTATAAATTTATCAAATACAGATATATAAAAAAAAATGAAAAATCATACAATTAACATAGTTCATTTAAGAATTTTTAAAATAGAAAAAATTGAAAAAGATCACAAAAATATGAAAAGATAAAGGCAATCGACTGAAAAATTAATATACCTTGTTGAAAATTTGGAACCTAATTGAAAAAATTAGAAAGCTAATGTGTTTTTCTTTGTAAGTTTACCTGTGTGACTTAATTTTTATGATAAATTTATTACTTTTTAAGGATTTGTGAATAATGATTGTAGATATAATAAATAGATCAATAATAACATAATTAATTAGCTTAAAGTACAATACATAAAATTAAGTTAAAAATAATGAATAATAATTTAATGTGAACACTAATTTAATTTAATTTAATATCAATACATATGAAATTATTATAGTGTATAGTATATATTAAAGTTATTTCAAATTTTGGGGACGCCAAAGCTTCTCATGCTCCTATGTAGTTTGTCACTGGAATTGTTGGTATTAAAATTTGAAACAACGCCTATAAAATATTATTTTTTAATGATGATTATATGAATCAATCAAATTAAATCTCTAATTTATTTACAATTCATTTACAGTAAATAAGTATTGTAAGAGATCAATTATATATTGAGAATAATAAAATAGAGATAGAAAATATAAAATAGTTTTATTGTATGGAACCTTGGAATTTTTTTACTTCAAGCAAATCTCATTAATTTGTAATTGGAACTTTTTGGAATGTTTATTGATATGGCTTTATTATAATAAAACGAAAAGAAAGTTCTTTAATTATATTTCACCCTTAGCTTTCCCTTTGACACTAATATTTCACTTTTAAAAGACCGTGTTGTTTATTTAATTAAGCAACGTGAAAAGCTCAATTCTGCCTATTGGTATCTGAATTTTTTCAAGCGAACAAAGAGTTGCCGTGTATTATTTGTCCGAACGATGAAAATGACACTTCCCAAAGATTTGGCCGTGCAAGAGATGTTGCAGGCTCCAATACTTCAACCTTTTCAAGGTCGATCATAGAAAATGTCAATGTTCGATTGTCTAATGTCGATGTTCGATTATCTAAAAGCATAATCATCGATAAGTTGCTCGCGATCATATAAGAAATTCGATGTCTATAAATAGTTGGGGGGGTGGGGTGGGTGTGTTAGTAGCATTCCAAGTACCACCTTCATTCTAGCTTGCCAGTGATCTTTTTCAGCTATGGCACACTTTGAGAAACTCTTGACCGACGTTGATGTGAAGAAGCAAATGGCAATTCCTAGTGATTTCATCAGGCATCTGCCACATTATGAAGGGGGACGGACAATATTCTTTCCGGTCCATGATGTGTCCGGAAATGTTTGGGAGAACTTTGGATATTATATTAGAAGAGAAGGCGAAGATTATCCTAAACCTGTTTTTCAAGGAGATTGGCGTAGGTATGTTCGTGCTAAACATCTCACTCCTGGTGATAAAATTATCTTTCGAGTTGAGGGGAATGGTGCCGGTGGTGCCCCAAGATACACCATTGCAGCACAAAGGAGAGTTGCAGTTCTTGGTGCCACTATTGGTTGGACTGAGGAGTTCTAATCATTTTATGTCCAAGTTAGTTTGATAGACTTTTGTTGTTGTTATTGTTGTGGTCGTGTATTTGTTACTCTTTTGCTTCTTAGAATTACTAGTATTGTATTTGTTTGTGATAAATTTATGTACTCTTAATGTAACTTTTATTAGTACCAGTAGTATTATATCTATATAAGTTGATTTAATTTTCATGGTTCATTGTTTTAATTATCTATTTCTTAGCTTTGAATCTCTTTCATTGGTCTTTTTCTAACAATATTTTCTTTCTTTTGGAACAAAAAAGGCCACAATTTAAGGATAAAGAATAGAAATACAAGTTTTAAGATTCAAATTATAAATTTACTGAATATCACATTTTAAAATTGATTATATGAATCAAAAATCACTTTTTATATTATTTATCCTCGCTGTTCATTTTTTTTTATTTGCATATGCATACATAAATTCAAAGTTTAGACACCATTTTATTTTATTTTTTACTCTTCCCTTGTTTCTCTATATCGTGAATTATTATCTTCTTATTACAAGGAGTGTGTTAGCAAATTTGGATGATAACCGGATTTGGCATTTTACAATGGAGAAAGCAGAAAAAATATATATATAGACTGCAAAAGACACATTAAGAATAGCAAACTTTGAGGACCAATGTTTGATGTCAATGGGTAATTTCAAGATCACAATTCCTAGCAGAGTACACTTAGCAATAGGCAATGGAACCAAATGAAATGGTTTTTCATTTTACTCTTTAAAAATGGTAAAAAGAATGGTAATGTAAAAATATCTTGGCAACTTAGTAGTTACATCGTCGGTAAAATACAGAAACAGACTTCTATGTTACACACAAAAAGATTGTGGGAGACAAAAATGGCTTATGATGATTGAACGAGGAGAGAAGTTTAGATGTGTCTGATGGCAGCAAGATCAACTTTACAGAGCAAACAATTCTCCAAAACACATTTCCATGTTCAAAAGAATTTGTGTTTAGGCCAATCAAGCTAATCATCGTCTGATGGTAAAGTTGGACTATTGAAGCAGGTGTCTTTCTGATGAAGTTCCAATAGCTTTGTCTCAGGATTGCATAGCCCTACATAACAAGAGTAATGTTAGAACACAACATATCTGGAGATTTTGAAACCATGGTTCTATCACAAGATATTTGCAACTTAAAGGCTTCAAAATTTTCTATTGATCTTGGACCAAGTAAATGGTCAAAGTGCAAGTTGACACTGTCCAGGTTTCTGTCAAGAGCTGTTCTTAACAATCATATTAAATCCATTAAAAGGCCACTAAAGAGTGGCTGTTTGACAGGAGATGACCTAAGCTAGTACCAGATTTATGCAGATTTTGAGGAAATCTCAATCGGGTCCATATCACCTACAATCTTGTACATCTATGGATCCCTTGTTGTACCCCTGCAATATGACTAACGGAAACATACCAAGAAAATTGTGGGAAACATAAACCATTAATATTTCACCATCCAAATCTTCAGGGATCATCTTTTTTCGTTCTGAAGTCCATAGAAATAAATGATAGTTGGCAAGCTTAGAAAGACTATTGGAGCACCAGTTCATAAGCTTTAAATGAACACCAACCTGAGCATTTGGGGATATCCCAGACAGCAATAGATGTAGGAGTACACTCTGGCTCACACAGTGCTCGATTATCCTCATGGTTGACATTCATTGCAAGCATCCATGCACCAATTGTAACATCCTCGTTACTAAACATCCGAAAACTGCAATTTGTACAAAATAGAACAACATCATAACAAATCAGAGATAGGAAAAGGTCGTGGATGAAGCATCATTAGTAACATTACTTCATCTAATGTTACCAAATGAGCTGTCAAAGAGAAAGAACACGTTGCAATATGTATATTGGATTAAGCTTTCCTAATATTATCTCACTTTTCTTTATGAATTTACATTAAAACCACCGCCCAACCTCCTCAATCACAACAGAGGACGAGAAAGATAAAATGCTTCATCAGCATAGATAATTTTTCAGTTATATTAGATGTCTTGAGAGAACAAGGCTGGCCATGACCCGAAAGTCCAAAACAAGGGTTGAAATTGGAAATATTTGGGAAACAAAACCACAACCCAAATATAGATGAGAGAACAAGAAACAATAATAGAGATGTGGTTTAATAGATAATTATGGGATTAGATCTGGAATCATTAAGAGTACCTGTTGTTTCTTAGAGCAACCAAACTTGCAACAACATCAGCTGAAAGTGCATATATAGGACCATAGGCATGAAGAAAGTACTCCTTGCCTAGTAGATAGGATAGTGGCTCATACCTGCATGAATTTAGTCAAATCTGATCACTCCTCGAGTATATGAGCATCCAAGTTAATATAAAGCCAACCTTTTTTGGTGCCATATGCTCTAACACTGAGTTTTGTTTAACATAATTCACAATAGAAAACTATGACATACTCAACTTCTCAAAAATCTTTAAATCATATCCTCATTATATAAAAGTAAATGAAAAATGCAGTGGCAAAATACAAATGTGAAAAGGTACATTACAACATCCTATACTACACATCTAATCTCCAATGATGGAAGTGAACAGAAAGAACAGGATGCTTATTGCAGTTAAGATGCATGTGGCCAAGAATGATCACTTCTTAATAATAAAGAGGTAAGATCAAAATGCATTTTTTATAGTGAAAATCAGTGTCATACATCTTAAATCTTACAATGTTTAGAGGACTTTTTAAAGCTTTTTGTCCATATATTCTTCCATGCATTTATACATACATACATATATCACGTATCCATGCATGTATACATACATTTGAAGGTATAGAGCATCATAATCTTAAAAGATGAAATTATCAAGAAAGAAGTTTGTCTTTTCTCATGGATAATTCAAGATTGAGGGCATCTTAATAACCTGGGTAATTATTTCTATATGATTATTCTAATAACAGTTGATGCTAAGACAAATATTATTATGTATAAGTAAAAACTTCTCTGCCTTCCCTGTATCAAACATCTGATCTGTGATTATAACCAAAGATGTGGAAAGAAATACAACTGCCATGGCCTAAAGTTTTAGAAACTTATTGATACTGAGAATAAAATGTAGCCCAGTTTAACTGATTTCGCTTTCCATTCTTTATGGATCCATATGGTCATTTCCTACTATCATACCCTTAAAGCCAAAAAGAATTTAGCCCAGTTTCATAGTGAGAATAAATTTGTAGCCTGGTTTAAGTGATCTGGTTTTAAATTCTTTACGATTCTACATGGTCCTTTCCTACTACCTTAAAACCAACAAAAGTTGCTGCTTTCTAGATTTTTCCTTGAACATTTTTAAGTTAATGGATGCCATTGAACTCCCCTCTCCCTTCTCGATTGAATTGCCAATATCAACCAAAGATAGCAAATTATCATCTTTTCTATCAATTTACAGCAGAAGGCACTCCCATCAACCAACGCTAACCCCAAATATGAAGCCAAAAAGCAGTTGAAACATAGAGATATCTAAACCATATGTTCAAACTAGTAAATATAACAACACTAACCATTTCAGCTTAGGATCTGTAAATACCGGACCCTTTTTCATGCATCCAAGGTAAGTCTGAGAGTGGGAACGTTCTTTTGCTAATAGAAGTGATAGCCTATCTGCAAATCAAGCATACAACATAGTAAGTCACTCAATATGCATTAATTACATATACCGCCAAACACCTGCATAAAAGAGTTAATAAATCAACTCACCTGGCCTCAAATATATATCATCATCAGCTTTGACGTAAAACTCGGAATCATAGAGTGTGTACGCAGCTTTAAAGAATGCTAACCTGAAGCACAAATTCTAAGTGAGGGATCTTCTTTCAAATGAATCACATGACTAATGGATAACTAAAATATTCGAAAAAAGAACTAACGTTTTGTATGGGAGCTTACTATACTCCTCCTCAATATCTAACAAAATGAAATCATCATATTCTGCAACTTCCTTTTTCAGCTCTGCCATCTTTGACTTATCATTTGTTCTACCAATAACAAACCTAAAAGCTAATCCTGTTGCTTCTTCCAACCTGAAAAAATTTTAAAATATTAAAATTAAATTGTAATTGATTAACCAATGAGCAAATATTTACAGATTTTTTCAATTCTTAAAAACAAAATGTGACTTTGCTTTTATTTTAGTGAATAAGAGTAGCAACTAAACATATCTTAATTGTTCTTAAATTCAAGCTGAAACATAATATAATTTTAATTGATAATTCAAGCTTAAATGTTTGCTTCTAAAATCAAATGAAAGTACAATTAATTTCATATGAAAAAATAAATTATAACTAAATTACTATAATTAAAAATTTTATACACCGTTGAAGGCCTTGGCGATCTGAAGGCATCCAAGTCTTCCTCAAGGACCGTCTCCGACCGGCCGAACCGAACCCAGTTTGGATCCCAACAAAGCCCATAACTTTGTGCCTGTTCGTCCCATTATCATCATCTCCACTAGCACCACCGTTATTCACATTCCCGGTTCTATCCCAAAGAACACGGACAGATCTTGGGTCGGAGCTCTTACAACGGTAACCGGAACCACCGGAGGAAAGGAAAGAGGAGAGTGCGAAGAGGAAAGAGGCGATGGCGAAGGTGAGGAGGGCGGAGAAGATCAGGCGCGTTGATCTGGTTGGACGAGTGGCCGGCGGCGAAGTGCGCGCATTGAAGGATTTGGGAGATGATGGCATAACTGTAATTTTGAAGGGATGGAGTGGGAGATTTGGGGGGAGGGGGTTAGGAGATAAAGGAATTTGGAGTAGAAGAGAAGCAATATGGAAAAGACAGTGAAAGAGTGAAGAAAAAGTTCAGCTTTTTTCGGTTTTCTTTCATTTGATCTGCCGTTATTGGTCGTTATATGGATCTTTTTCTATCCGGGTTTTCGGGCGGGTTCGGGTCCAATTATTTTTCAATTTTAGTACTCCAATTCAATTTTGTCCTTGAATATTTGATGAATTTCTTAAACTACGTTGATATTAAAATTTGAATTTATTGTAGGTTTATATGTTCCAAAATGAACTTTGAATAATTTGCATATCAATGTGTGTTATTGTTTATTAAATTTTTTATGAATAATTTATCAATCTTTAATACTTTATATTTTAATGTAATGTAAATTACAAATGATAAAATGAATTTGAATCTAAAAATTCGCAAGAAAATGTTTAAATTTGAATTACTCAAATTTGATTTGATAAAAAAAAATTAGGTTTAGATTTAAAAAAACTCAAAATCAAAATCTAAAATGACTTAAAGTCAAAAAAAATTTAAATTTAAACTCTAAAAATATATTAAAATAATTATATCTTTTATAAAGTTAATAATATATTTCGTTCGTTTCAAAATATTTGTTATAAATTAATTTTTAAGAAATTTTAAAAAAATTTGATTTTAGTATATTTAGTATTAAATTTTAAATGTTTTTATAAAATTAGAATATCATGATTTTTAATGATAAAAAATTTTAAATTTTAAAATTTTAAAATATAAAAATGTAAGAGTTTTAGATGTTAAAAAAATAAAACATAATTTTAAGACATTTCAAAAAGAAAATATAAATGAAAAAAAAATGGAACAAAGGAAATATATAATTTGATTTGTTCAAATTCAATATTAACTTAAATCCAAAAAAAATTCTAAATATAAAATTATAAAAAAAAAAAAAAATTTGTCTGAACCGAATCTGCTTGATTACAACTTATGACGTTAGATACTTTATATATGCATTTGGTTGACCACACAAATTATAGTTCCAAATTTGATTGAATGAGGCCTGCAAACCAATTTTATTGTTTTTCCTGTTAGTCTATTGGTAAGATATTTATTAACTAAAGTAGAGAAAGAGACGTTTCCAACCTTAATTGAATAACCATGTAGAGTCGTGCTTAATTTAATAAGTTATGCTTCACATGCAAGAAAACATTTTAACTACTTATTAAAAGTAAACTTAATTCTATAAATTGTTGATTTTTTTTTTTTTACAATAATAGCTATAGTTTAAAGATAAATGAATAAATTAAAAATTTTAAATTTAATAAATTTAATAAATTTAAATATTATCTTTTAAAGATAATTATATAAATTAATTGAATTAAAATTTGAATTTAAATTATTTTATTTTACATATAATATTTTCATTTCCAAAATCTACTCTTTTCCCTGCTCTCACACATGCCCTGCACTTTTTTTCTTTTGTATGTGATTAACTTCAGATTGGATAATGAATAAAATAAATGAAGCTTTGGGACTAAAATTTCCATTATTTATAATGTTAAGGACCACAAAAACAATAATCTCCACATGAATCTGACAATCCAAAAATATTTTTTAAAAGGTCACCAGCTGTATAATTCAGAATACAGCATAACATTTCAGGAAAAAAATAATAATCAATTAATCATTTTCTTTTCATTTGCCTTTGTTTTTTTTTTTTTTTTTCCTTCACTTTGGGCTTGGGGTCCTTGGATATTTACTCACCTTTTCAAATTTACTTCTTTGCTGTTTCTTTTCCAATGGTATTGTGGCATGAGTAACTGAAGTTGGAATCTTTGCCATAACTGTGGCCAACCAAAACTGAAAGAGAATAAAGCATGAGTGATTTCCCCAATTTACAATTTTATTGCTGCTTAACATCCAACTCACAGTCTTTCTTCTGCAGCTGTTCCTCTACAGAAGCCTGTGTCTCATTACAAATACAAGAGGTCTTAACACTAGAAACTAATGCTGAATATGGCTCTTCACAGGACACCTCTGAAAATTGTTCCTGCAAACTACTTTCTTGCCGCTCAACTACTGTTATATTCTTCTCGTCTACTTCCTGGTCTTCTAGATAAAGACAATCAGATTGCTGCACAGACTCCACTTTTGTTACAATGTCAGCTTCATTGTCACCACAGCAACCTTCAAATTGGGATGCAGAGTTAATTTCTGCAGCAGGGCATTCTTGTGAAGTCCCAACTTCTTTGGAGCAACAATTACGGTCAGAGCACTGTATAGATTCATCTATCGGCTGTCCCTTCGTACGGATACCTAATCTAGTAGTTTCTATAACTCTTAAGGCTGGTTTATCACAAGGGTCTTCTCCATCAGCATCAATGATTTCCGTTGTACCATCAATTTCCAATTCTGGCAGATTCTTGTCTCCTACAAGCTGAGTCTCTATTTTGGCACAGGCGTCATTTGTAAAGCAGTTATCATCAAGAGGCTGTAAAGATTTGGCCAATTGATCGTCATGTCTCAAATGTTCAGTTGAATTAGCTTGTTGCAAAGATGATGTAGCACCTGCTTCTGTATAACCTTGGATATTAAATTTGTTTCTCTAGAACTCCAAGAATAATGAACTAAAAGAGGGAGTGAGGCTACCTGATTGTAATTCTGCTTTTTGCAATTGATATAAGGGCTTCTTAAGCAATATTGTTCCAGGAAACACCATCAAGTTGATCTTATTAAGTGTTTTTCTTTCATCATCATCCACTGGTGTGAAGCCAAAACCCTTGGTCCATGTTTCCATTAAATCTGGAATGGCAGTTATCACAATCTTTTCCACCTTGAATGAGATGAGCATCTAGTGGCAGCATTGATCCAGAGGATGAACAAAACAAAGAAAATTAAGTAACAAATACGATTGGTCCAAAAAATCATAGCAATACTGTCTATAAACTGTGGGGAATTTACAATGTTAAATTCCAATGAGAAACAACTTGTGCATAATATTTAAACTAGTGCTACAAAAAGCACATCTAAGCATACTGCCAAGATAAAATACCTCTTCAATAACAGTCATAAGGCGTCGACACATTCCTTGACGACGATAGTTGCTACAAGTTGCAATAAGAGGCATCTCTGCAACTGTTACCCCATGTATTCTAGACCAAATGACAGAGAAAGACTGAAAGTAAACAGGAATGTGTACCAAGTAGAAGGTTCCAAACTGATTAAAATATTATAAATTTGAAAATCAGAGATATTTTCTTTAATAAACTAGGCAGGAGAAAGTAGCTGAAAACAAATTTGCAAATCTATACACCCATTCATGTCAAGTCTTTATTGACATTATCATGAAAATTCAATAAGACGATTCACACCAATCAAGTATGCACAAAGATCTCAGACTGACCACCTTCAAAATGGCAATAAGCAAAATAGATTTTAAGTTGATAAAATGAAACATGTAGCAAATTCATATCCTAATATTGAACACGACAAAGATAAATAGTGTCAAGCAGTTCTATGTTGGTGATAATCAAGCCTAAAACAGTTCTTCTGATGGGAGAGTTTCTTTTCAAAAGTTTTAACTTGCCAAACAAGTACTCTTGAGTCCAGAAAATACTCTCAATTGGCTTCTGGAAGATTATTGCTTTTGTTTAAACCAAGGTTGCCAAACCCGTACTTGGTTTCTTTCTCTCCTAATTTCTCTCAAATTCTGCAAATGTTCATCAGTTTGCAATCAAAAGACTGATACAAATTATACCATAAGTCTATCAATCCATCAGAACGCTCCTGCCTACTAGAGCAAAAAACCTCAGACATTATTGCTATGCTCATGTTCCAGTCTTGGCCTTTGCTTGCTTAAACATGATTAAAAATCAAATCCTTCCCAAACACCTCTAGAACCTGTCATCCCCATAAAAACTAACCAAGCAGTAACTTCCACCTCAAACTATCTTAATAACCATATTTTTGCTAGTAAAGAATTTCATGCAACTTGTTTTTCCTTGTATCATTCGACTCCAAAAATCCAACACACAGTCATTAAGGTGAAACTGAATGTCGAAATCTTTCCCCCACCATTACAAGCTAGAACCACAGTGCTTCCTAACTATAACCCACCAGATAGTTTATAGCATATAGGTTTCCACATTTTATTAAACATCATGAACAAGGTTGACAAAAAACTATAGATGCTAACTATTTTCACAACAACAGATTAAAAAAATTTCTAAACTTAAAAACAAAAAAAAAAAGAAAGAAAAAGTATTCCTTGTCAAAACTTGATCTCAAATTACATTCAGCAGGAAACAAGGGATAACACAGCATGATGATTTGTTGCGTGTTGTTAAAGAAATGATTTAAATATCAAATACCTCCAAACAATATCAATACTACCTGATTGATGCTACTGATATCAGCACATCATCCTTCTCCAAGACAAAAGAGTAAAATCCAAAAAAATTAAGGCGTGCAAAATCCGACCTGATCATTTAAACAACAACAGCATGTGAATCATAAGCAGCCTTGCAACCAAAAAAAAAAAAAAAGAATTACAAACAGTGTAGAAGGAGACATGTCAAGAACTAGATGACGCTGAAACTTAAAGAAATAAACCTAAGTAACCAGTGTGGCTACAAAACTATATTATCATGATGACACATCATGGAATGAACAGAATTAATAAGTACAAACTCTAAAACAACGTAATGATCAAAAGTAAGACTGAGCAATGAGTCAAAAGGAGAAAAATATTACATAGAAATGTAAAAGCCAAGCCCAGAACATTGAAGATAATGGTGAAAAGGAAATTTATCAAAACGGCCAGGTGTCTCACCCCCGATTGTACAAGAGATGCGGTATCATATCTACCCCTGTTCTGGGATCAACCATAGACTGAAAGCATTCTTCCATGATAGACAGAGCAACAGCCAATTTTGAGTTGCATTCTGCCTTCAGGGCAAACCTTTGAACGGAGTGGACTTTTTGATCTTCATGAATACATCTAAGAAGTGTCCAAGAAAAGCCATCAGAGAGGTGATTAATCATCCCAAGACGATAACTAAGACCTGAGTGCAGCTGCAAATACCAGTGAACCTTGCATCAGAACATAGAATGCAGATAACATGGAAAATGCCAAGCCACACAAGACAAGGCATAAAGCAACCAACAGTTGTAGCTAAACAATCATAGCCAACATCTATGTAGCAACTGATTGCCTTTTAGATTAAGGAAATGGCTAATAAAGTAAGAGGTAAGGTACAATAGACAACAATGATCATTTAAAAGCAAGGTGTTATATGATGGCAGGATGGAATGCTTGAAGTTGACATAAATCACATACACTATCAGGTTCCAAAGCTGAGATGCAGCATAGCTAAAAATGCAAGAACATGTGCTTTTTAATTGGAAATAAGTATAATTAAACAAAACTCATCCTAGTAGAAACATAAATGCAGTTATTATTGCCTAAACAACTATCAAAAAGGAAGACATCGATCACATATTAGAGAAAAGAATAGGAGAGAAAATTAGAGGAAGATATTCGACCTTTTGGGTCTCTCCTTCTTGGCTAGATGATGCACACTAACAAAGAAAAACAAATCCAAACTTCCACCACTTTCATTTCAATAATTGCAATCTTTTATAACAAATCTAGAAATGAAAACAAAAAGACTCCAAGGAGCAGGACCCCAGAGGACAACACAATACGACGTTGGAGGACTGAATAACTTTAACTAAGTTACTCACACTAATATTGTTGCATCAGGCAAATATTCTAAAAACAGGATAAGCAAAAGAACAACTATGCCAGCAAAAGTGCAAATTCAGTATAGCAGAATGCTAACAGTAAACTAACACAATTCCAAGCCTAAATAGCAAAACTTCAATCTGCCTGTAAAGGCAAGTGGTAAAAATTCCCTATGTCCGCATGAGACTGACAATCAAATTCTAAAGTGTCAAGCAAAACAGGATAAGGGGCAGAACTTCAAACGGACAATAACCTACACAATAACAGGCCAGACCAAAGAAATAAGCCCCAAAGACAGAAAAGAGGGCATAACTAGTCGCACAACCAGCCTTTAGAATAAGGACTCCAGGTGGCTACCATTTTATTTAAAAGAGAACCAGAGAAAAAGGACAAACAAGTTAGAGTTAGAGAAGAAACTTAACTGGGGCTCCCAGCTTGGCCTAGCCTAAACCTAATGAAACAATTTCAGCAAGTTCTTACTCCATAAAAATTGGATTAAAGAGAGAAATTACAAGAAGATCTGGGTTCAGTGCATAGGCTAAGAGTGCACTGCATGGTTGAATATTGCTATTGTCTGGTCTTGCATTCAAAAGATTAAAAGGGATGATATAGCCTTTGAAGAAATGTCATTGGGAAGCAATCTTCTAAGAGACTGATGTGTGGTTGATGCTGAATTGGGTAGATAGTATCTAAATGTCATTTTTTGGTCAATATAGAGCATTTTCTACATAAACAGTTAGAACCACATTGAAATTTAGAAGTTGCCCTCATTACCCAACAAGCTGCAATGACAACATTTATTATGCAGCTTATGGACTACAATCAAAGTGCAGCTGTAAACCACTGCTTTCTTCAGAGTGCAGTGAAGTCCATCCAGCTCAACTTCGTCTTGCAGTGGGATGAGGAAGGGATGTTCCAAACTACTCCTACTGAATTGCTGATTTAAAGTAAACCAGATATCTCAAAAACAAGCTATAAGAAGGGCAAAGACTTGAACTCATACACAGAATACTGAAACCATTTTCTACATGCTAAATCCAACAAATTCTTTGCAGCATAACCATAGCCAAGAAGTTTGAATCTCAGAAATACTACCTCCTCACAGCTTCCCCCACAAAACCAAGTATCAGAAACCTTTTCTTCAAACTGACTTTTATTATTCAGGCATTCCTTATGATCTGTTTACAAACATTGTGATAAGCAAGATAATTAGAAACAGAAATCACCTAGAGAAGCATCATAAACACACAAACACACACACACACACACAAAAACAAACAAACAAACAAAAAAGCAAAATAAAATTGGTAAATGTGTATAATGTCCTTAGTTATTTCATGAAACTACTAATTGAGGTCGTGAAAATAGATTTACAATTCCTAGTCATTTTTATGAAACAAAATAGGACAGAGAATAGTTAAACATTTGCTTACTAATATTGGATTATGGCAGAGAAGCTTACTGAACTGCCCCCCATGGATGTGATTACGCCCAATTATACATTGGATGCATCCATTAGAAAAACTATCAATTACTGCCCTGTTTGTGCATACTTAGAAAACAATGCCACAAAAAAAGAAAGAAAAACCTACATCTTTTAAAAGCTGATATAAAAAGGTCTAATTGTAATTTCAACAAAAAGCTTAAAGGTAAGAAAAACAATCAAGAACTTTATGCTGAGAAAAAGGCTTCATAAAGGTTTTTAATGTTATGCTCTAGAACTGATTTAACCATTCCATTTTCCAATTTGAACAAAAGATAATTTACTATTGAGTTTGTTCCAAAGCTTTTAAGCCACAATTTTTTTTTTTTTTTGTCTTCTTTGTTTTGCTCAGTGAGAAAACTAAATCAGGAAACAAACAAAAGAAATTTTTAAAAACAGTAAGTATTAGCCAGCCACACATTAAACATAAGATTATTCATCCAAATCATATGTCAAGAAGCTGTATACTGTCTTCATAAATAATTGAAAGTTTTCAGAGGAAATGCCATTCCGCCGGGGGAAGAATTACATTTGTGCTCACACTGAGAACATTTGAATGCATCACACATACTTGAAGCCTCTTTATCATTAACAAAATTCCCACATATCCAACAAGTGCAATTTGAGCAATACCAATTGCCCTCAGGTAGTTCCTGGAACCAACAAATTGAAGCAAATGAAGTAATTAGTAATTAAAAAAAAAATTATAAGAAATCAACACGTTTCAAAAGGAAAAGAAAAGAAAAAAAGAAGGAAAGTAGTCAGATTAACCTACATGAACTCCAGATTACAGAAGCAAAAGTAAGTCACAAATTTGAGAGCTAATATTATACAGCGTTAGAAGAAAGGAAAAAAAAATCATTGTTCACTAGTAGTTTGTATGCTTTTAAAACCAAAAGAAAACATTTTAGATAGAAAATTAAAATGATGGAGACAAAATAAAGCTTCTACCAACATTTATGAGACAACGGAAGAAGAATATAGAGGAAAAGAAGATCATCTTGTACGGTTTAATTTGAATCAGAGCATTCAAGGTAACCTACAAGTAACTACACATTTTCTCTGTGATACATATTGTACATAAAATATAAAATGCACACCACCTACGAGTAATTCAAGATGATGACCTATTGGTTTCAGCAATCATCAACGAAATCTATCACATTGAAAGCACGCTACCTGCATGATTGTTACACGTCTAGTCTATCTTGTTCCTCTTAAAGCTCCTTATGCTGTTCTCTATGAGACATTATATTCAATTATACAGCTCCTTCAACAGGGATAGGCATTGAATATGCAATATCTTAAATAGAATCATCATTCTAGTCTCAGATATCTAACCATGCAAATGCAAAAGATGACATAGCTTAAACTCTCACAGGTTTCATTGCCATAGAGATAAACTAAATCAGTCTCAAAGTTATGATTCTTACTTCCGTTATCTGTCCTATTACAAGCACTGAAGCTAAAATTATGTACAGAAAGTTTGTAACCAAAATGAAAATTTACCAAGAATACCCTTTCATAATTGCATAAAAAAGAAAAAAAAATTGCAATACTAAACAACAATAAGTGAGTCTAGGCAAAACATATTTGAGATAAGAAAAATTAATGAAGCTTCGAGAAAAGGAAAAGAAACTAAGGAGAATATTTAAGAATGCAGATTAGTTATGAGCAAAAAAGGCAAGAGAACGAAAGAGTGAGGAAAAGACAAACCTGCATAGACAGGCAAGCCAGATGAAAAGCAGAAGGGCAGTTGTCACAACAAATCAGTTCACCACCATCCCCACATAGACCACAAGAATCATCATTTTGATCATTTTTGTCAGTTTCCACCTTCTGGGTCCCATATTTTCTGATCTTGTACTCAGCAGACCATGCTTGCAGCTGACATAAAGTGAAAGGCTTACCAGATTCCATGAAAAGATTCAAGCAGGGACGGCTAAACTTGAATCCAGCATGAATCTTAAATTCAGAAACTGATAGCACCCTGTTGCAACACTTGCAGGTTATTCCATGCCAGGAAACAAAACCATCTTTAATGATAGAATCATCCTTAGGGTTTCGATATTGAATAACATCATTCAGAGAAATGACCCCAGCTAGGATCAACCATGAGAGCACTGTTCTGGATCCAAAATTAAACAAATTAATTTCAGTAATATGCTTCACTCCTTTACCCGTTCCTTGAGGAAGCAACTTGCAGTGGCCCTTCTTTCTCTTGAGCTTGTTCCAAGATCTTATCTTGGGGGCCTTCAATTTAGATCTGGTAGCACCCAAGCTTAAGTCTTTGTTTCTTATTATTGCAGAAACCAACAGGTCATCATCTTGAATTTGGCGTTTAGTTGATTTCTTTTGTCTATTTTTAGAACCATCAAGATTGCCACAAATCCTCTTAAACTTCAAGCCCTTTTTCTCCACTTGATGTAGGCAAGAGCCAAGAGATGAGGACTTTTGTAGGTTTCCCTTGGTTACAAAGGATTCTTGGACCTTTTTTGAATTTAATTCAGCCTGGCATGTGTCAATATCTTGTTGTCCATTTGTATCAGGACTATAAGAACATAGAAAATCACTTTGATATAAAGTGGTCAATCTAATTTCGGATATCTTTCTAGATCTCCTGCGTGCCTTCTTTTTCAAAATAACATCTTGTGCACAATTTTTATCCTTTGTTTCAAACTTCAGAACTTCAGCAGACTTCTTGAACTGGTCTTCACCATTCCCAGACTGAATCAGGCTAACACTAGGGTAGCTTGGTTGGTAATCCAGTGCATGCTGTGGAAGATTTCCCTCGCCAGCATCCGGAGCTCCAGATGTTTTATCTTTTTCCTCCAGAGAATCAAATGATACATCTCCTGGAACCTGACTAAGAGTTTCTACATTACATTCAGAAATTTGTTTATCAGAGCGTGGAGAACTTGTGTTGCTATCTTGGTGAGGGGAAGCAGATTCAGAACCCTGAAGTGTGTAGGTAACATCTCCAGAAGCAACATGGTCAATACACTTAAAACTACGTAGATGGCCACAGGTGCCATCCGACCCACAAGCATGTGACAAAGCCATATGCAAACCTTTGACCTCACAACCAAAAGTTTCTGACCTGTCGGCAGTATCTACCAAACATGATCCTTCTTGGTCAGCCATATAAATAGATACATCTTTCAGACATTTTACAGCCCCACTACGCATTTTACCATAGAATTTTGACAAAGTTCCATCGCCAGATAGCTCATCACAGGAATCATAACTCCTCTCGGAAGCTGTCAATGAGCTTTTAGCAACCAGAGAAGAATCACAAAGCTGAGTTGGCACATGTCCCTGAGAACAGAATGTTCCCATAGTAATTTTTTTTCTCTGTGCCAAAGGAGCATCATTTTTCTTGTTACTTTCAATAACTAAACTTCTTCCTGCTTTAACCTCATCTCCCTTCCTTAATGAACCAATCTTTCTATTAATAAATACAACAGTTACAAACGGATCCAATAGAGTCCAATGCTGAGCCAATGCATTAGAAAGGTTTGCTTGGTTAACTTCTTTCTGAATATTCATCAAGGCATCTAATAGATCAGACCAGAACTGGCTCATGTCAGTCCATTTCTTACCATCATTTTCCAGCATGAAGTTGTATCTATCAGCCAACAAAACCTGACCACAAAATCTCCAAACTTTAGGGAATTCACGAAATAGCCTCCCCTCAGGTGATCTATAAACTGTATCCATATAACTCCTACTGGGTCTTTTACGCCTCTCAATAGACCAGCCTGCTCCTTTTAGTATGTGAAAAACATGGCTTTGAAGAAGAGGACGAGGATCCTTCTTAGACTCTATTGCCCCAGAAATATTAGAATCGTCCACTCCAAAAGATTGAAATCCACTAAGTCTTTCCTCAGAACATAAAGGAGACTCGGACTTCTCCACAGCAGTTGCAGGACTTGAAACCACAAGCTTAGATGCAAAACTCTCCTGCGAGACAGGTGAAGCTATAGCTTTACCTACTACCACTTCTTTTCTTTCACTTGCACCTGAGTCTTGTATTCTGGACTTAGTAACATCCACATCTTCCATTTCAGCACCTCTGTTCATTTCAACATGCTGCTTCAACAGATAACAACTAGATGTAAAGCCCTGAGAAGATGATTCAACTAAATGAAGCGTAACCACTGGGCAAAGAGAATCTGTCGGTATCATGGACAAGTCACTAACAATTTTCTTCTTCTGCAATCGTGCATTCAAATCCTTTTTCTTTTGTGCTTTACACCAAGAAACTTCACCAGTGGAAAACTTCATTCGCTTGACATTCACATTCTGGTCATCTCTCTCTGCCAAAGCAAGTCTTTCAGGAATGCTCCCTGATGCAGAAACCCCACCATAACTCTCATTTACTGCATTAGTATCTTCCTGATATAAATTTTTTGAGCAAGATCGGCTTGTTACAGCTGAGGCTGCACTGTTCGAACACAGTGATGTATCAGGATTCTTGGTACGTTCACATTCAAAATTAATAACTCCAGTAACAAGACACCTTTTACTGGCGCTGCCAGTATCATCTCCAAAGAAAACCTCTGTAAAAATACTGTGCTCATCATGTGACCCTTCAAAACCATCATCATGCAGATCTTCAATATCTGCACTGAACGACATCTCCACTAAATGCAATTCCACTTTGCACAATCTATATGCCAGCAATAAGATAAGGCATTAGATATAATCCATAACAAATGCTTTAGGTCCCAACCATCCATTAATTGGTAACAAAAGAGTATCATAAAGACTTACTAAGAAGACAATTGCTACATGATTGATTGTTATTTAAACTTTAAACCTCAAGTTTGCATTGACTTTAGAACAACATTGACTCGTACCACCCTACACTTATATTTCATTTACATGCAATACAAGCAATTAACAAGTATAGGGTATCAGACTGCAAAATCATGAAAGCAACTGCCTTAACATCAATCATTCAGTTACAAGGAGAGTTAATTGTAAATAAAGTTCAAATATACCAAGAAAGCAAGGGTTTCCAATTTAATGCATACAAAAAAAGAGAAAAGGTAACATCGACAGCCATGGATTCTAACCAGTAAAAATGAAAGTAGGAAGGCAAAATATCAGAATATGATTACAAATAAACTATTTAGAAAATTCTAACAATAAAGCACTCCATGTAAATCCAGCAGAAAAAAGGAGAAACACAAAATCTGCATTGTTAATTTTAACTTACTTCAGCAGTAGCATTTAATCTTCACAAGACAATATTAACATATGTACTAAAATTGGTCAGCAACTAATGCACTAGTAAATATTAAAATATAGAAGTCGATTCAATGACATATTAATTCCAAAATTAAGAAATTGAGAGATGGGTATAATGCATGTAATTGCACCATGAGTATGAATAGGGCAACAGATTTTAGAGTTTAAAATATAACTGACAATCACATAAATCTAGATAATCATAAAACCATAAAAGGAATACTAAATTTTGAGGGATATGGAAAGATTTGCGGATGCTGGGATAGAGTATTAGCACAACTGTACATTAACGTCAATGAAGACAAAACCATAAATACAAAATAAAGCAAGCCATATGTCATCAAATAGAAGAAATCATAAAGAAATACCAAATAGACAAACAACCTACAAGCATGTGATAGTTTAGAAGCTTATGTTCTAAATAAAGGAACCATATAAGACAATACTAAAGAAAAACTACCAAAAGTTTCGTTCCCTAGGACTAAAACACACTACAGTACATTGAACAATAACCAATAAAATGTCCCAAAAACCCAATTTTGCCATGAATAAAATCAGGTTGCAATAACAAAACAAGTGCCTCTTATCTTCATAGCTTGGGAATAAGGAACATTGGGAAAAGTTCAACTGGTTTATCTTTGGCTTAGTCATGACTAAAACTGCACAAGTACGAGGGTTATGAAATACCTAAATGTCAAACTGACATGAATGGAATCTCTCTCTCATGCAGACTCATATCAGATCACATACACCAATGGTGTTCATTTTTGTACCATTGTTTTTTGTATCCATTATGTGAAAATGCCTATCTTGCCTTAGAAGCAGTGACATCACTTAACTAAGAACTAGATATATTAACAACAATATCAACTAACAGCACAATTCGTGTTTTTCTATTTAAAAAAAAAAAAAAAAGAAAAAGACTCATTGAGAAAAATGTATGGAAACAAAATATCAAATGGGTAACAATAACAGCCTGCAACCAACTAGCTTCAGATCATGGTGTTATTAATGAAACAATAAAATTTTTATTTATAAAGACTAAGGTCTTCCTCTGCCATAACCATTTGGGTATCAGATTTATGATTTACTACAGCCATAGCCAATGTCAAATCACCAATTGAAAACAAGAATACCTTAACTCAAATACACTATTATCTGAATTCTTTGCTCTCTGTTCCTCTCTTATTTGTGCCTTTAGAAGAAAAGAAAAGATGGAAATGTCACGCTTACATGTTCTCAAATGAACTAAAGGCTTCATGGTATAAATATATAGCAATGTCTTTACCGAACCAGTGCAACAAATAGTAAATTAACAGCAACTAAGGTATAGGAAAAATAAAACAAACAAAAATCAATATGTAAAACAACATTATTTCTCTCTTTATCTTTCTCTTACTTTTAAAATGTGTTTATAGCATGTCATAATCATCAACTAGCCTTTAACGTACAACCAAGCAAGGTGGGATCCTATCCACATCCAGTGGAATGCAAAGACTCCATTTACAGAATTTTATTTGCGAATGAGTCCATTAAACCACAAATAAGGAAACATATTTGCTTGAATAGACATGCAGTAAAGATACAACAATGCTCATGGAATGTTTGCATTCCACCAGGCAGTTTAGGGAACAACAAATCATTGAAGTGTACGTCAATAATGATTAGCCATGACCTAATTCCTCCTTGGTTATTACTGACTAAAAGGTAGTTTCCAAAACCAGGTTATTATTTATTAATGTTATTCTCCACGTCATATGCATGAAACTAAAGCAGGAATAAGTACCAAATAATTTTGTTAACTAAAAATGAATGTTTATGTAATGTTAATAGAGGTCTCTCTCTCTGGAGATGTCAAATGTGGAGATCATGCTGGCTATAACAGTTTGCTGCAAATGCTGCCATATTTTCAAAGACAACATGCACAAAAATAGCCTTCAAGTGATATTGACTTCAAAGAAAAAGTTATAAATGCATCCACCATTCCACTTGTCTGATACCAGTTGATTTATACAAACAACGATACCACTCAATCAATACCATTGTAGTTAATTTTCTATGGTTACCATTTTCTCCGAATACAGAATACAGCAACACCACATTGTTTATCAATATACATCTCATAGTGCCTACCATCACATGCTCCATGTTATATACAGTACACATCCCGTACAACCATTTACATGAATTCTTAAAATACGCAAATCATTCTATAGAAAGATTCTTATAATTTTTTCCCCCCTATCATATGTGTGCTCTCAATAAGTTTGCGCCATACATAAAGATTTCAAAAATTTAACTGTATTATTAACTTAACATAAACCTGCACTAACTTTATACTCTTTCATGAAGCTTTTAAAGCATTCCCTACCCCTCTTCTTTTTCTTTCTACTTACAAAGTCGCACTAGATAAAGTAGAGTGATAAAGCGACAAACTTCTTTTAACGACCACACAGCTGCCAAAATGCCCAATAATTCAATTTGGCACAAAAGGTTTGACTCTGAACCTTTTTACTTGGATTTTTTGCTTCTATTTTTATGCACTTTTGCTAGCTAGATATGACAGAAATATTGGATCATTGTTGCCATTATCATGCATGGAGTTATGAAAATAGTATATTCACCTTCATTTCACAACTAACAACTAACCTCCTACTTTCTGCTCATGCGAAAAAAAAGCTTTACATCACAAAAGCAAAGAAAATCGGAATACTCATACTATAAGTGCAACAAAAATCAAATTCTTAGCACAATCAATAAAGAAATGCACTTGCACTATAAACCAGACAACCAGGTTTTTCTCAAACCTGCACTCCACCATGCTTCCCACTAGTAAAAACTACTAACATCCATGTACAAACCACACACTCAACCCTTCCTAGTTGAACCTAACCCCCAAAAAATGGACGAAAACAAAAAAATATATATTTAAATCTATGCCATTACCAGGAATTACAGAACTCAATAATCCACCGATTAAAAGAAACAATAGTTGCAAATTTTATTTATTTATTTTTTTTTTTTTTTTTGCATTTTATAGGTGCTAAAATTCTCAATCTTTCATCACAATTTCTTACATATCAAGCATATATAACCTGAATTAAAAATAAAAAAAGCAGCCAAACAAATCCAACAACAATAAGAGTTCAGCAAAAAAAATCACCAGAAATGCTAAATGAAATCAAAATCCGAAATATTCCAGGACCCAGGAAACCAAACAAATGCAGATCAAAACCCAGAAGCCAAAATCAGAAAGAGATTCACATACATTCATCCAATAGCAAACAACCAAACTTTCAAAACTTTATCCAAAAATACAAAACAAAAAAGAGCTCACCTTTATAATGCATGTTCTGATCAACATGCAAAAGTAGATCAAGGAACAAACTTTAATTTAGGGTTAAAGAACTGAAAAACTGAAATGGGTTCGTCTCAAAAAAAAGAGAGAATCTTAATATAGGGCAGAAAAATGGGGTTTTTCTTCTTTCTTTTTCCCTTTGGCTTCGTCAGCTTAAAATACAAAGGACCCAAGCCCCATTTTTAAAACTGAAGAGGCTGTATATTGCTCCACAGTATACCAGATGGCAATGGTTAAAAAACACCCACACTCTTTTCTCTTTCCTTCCCTTTGTTTCTCTCTCTATACTCCTCCATGTGAGTGTATATGTCATGTTATTTGTACTTCTCTTCGCTTTTGTCACTCCTTTTCATTCATTTTTCTTTCACTTTATCTTTTTAGTTGTGTTTCTCTTTTTTATTTGAAGTACATAAATAAAACCCTTAAAAACTAACTAAATAAGGTTTATATATAATAATTGTAGTGTAATGGTAATATTTAGGTGATGAAATTTAACTATTTCTTGTTCTGAAAAAATGGGTAAGTGTGTTTGCATGATTTTTCTTTTTTTTTTAGTAAATAAAATTTAAGATAAATAAATTATCCAATATTTATATTCATAAAATATATTGATCTGCCTTCAATAATTTAACTCTTTTTTACTAAGTTTGATCTTGGGTAATATTTTGTAGGTCCATTAGATGTATGCATATATTATATTATTAAAAAACACATTATTATTATATTATCAAAATATTATTAATAAATAATTTTAAAAAACAAAAAGAAATGAAAAGATACCCACTAATGAATAAGCCATGGTGGGTTTGGTTTTTTTTGTTTATTTTTTGGAATTGATTTATGCTCAAATTTGAAAGTTGACTACCTTATGCAATAGAAAGAGAGATTTTGTCAAAGAGTGGAAGGCAACAATGTGGGGATAATAAGCCACTATCTAATAAATGAAAAATATATCTTATTTATTTTTATTATCTTTGTAATATATTTTCAAAATGTACCTAATTGAATTGCTTAATTAGGAAATCTGTCTACTTCTAGAAGAAAACATACCATGAAATCTATGACGAACATGTGGATTATTACCTTATCCACTTACATCTATATGTAAAAATTCTAAAATTAATCATGTGATTTTGTAACACATTTTTCTTTACATATCAACTCATGTATTTAATTTACATAATTTTTTTTAAAGTACACAACTTAATATCTAAGTCATGATATAAAATGAAGGAATACTTTTTTTTGTCCTATTATTATAATTCAAATCTTGATAAATTTCAATGATCAATCTTTATATTTACTTGTTTTAGAAACAATAAACTTCATAAATAATAATTCAATCCAAATTAAAAGTAAATCCTTAAGATGATAGAAAATATCTAAATGACTTGAACAATTTAATAAATATCATACAATATATTAAAGATTATAAATGTAATCGATCGAGTTTGAATTGATATAGTATTAAACTCGAGTTTAAATTTGACTCAAATTTCAAAACTTGAAATTCAATTCGAATTCAATCAAATTTTATTTTTTTAGTTCGAGTTAAACTCAAAATAAAAATCGAGTTACTCAAATTTGTTCGATTAACATGTAAAAATAAATTTGATTTTTATATTCAAAAAAATTTTGATTATTTATACTCAAACTTGAATTTAAATTCAAGATATTTTATTAATTAAAATAATTAAATATAAAATTTTAATTAAATTTATGAATTTTTTGAATCGAACATAAAAATATTTAAATTTAATTTAATTAATAAATAAAATTATTCGAAATCAAAATTAACTCAATAATAATCATATTAAATTTAAATTTTATTTGAAATAAATTTAAATAATTTTTAAATATTAATATATTATTTATTCTCTTAAAAATTGTTAACCCGTTAATTCTTACAAATATTCAGTTCAAGTGTTCTGACAGTCGCCATAGCGTCGGTGAGCAATTATATGAGTAAAAGTCAATAATCACGTGATTTATAGCTAAAATATTAATTTTTTAATTTTTTAGTTCTAACAACCATGCTTTAAATTTTACGTTGTATGGCAAACAAAAAGTTGATGAAGTTTCTGGGCTATTGGTACATGCACTTTTACTACAGTAGTTGTTTAGGCATTATTTTGCGTGGAATGGTAAAGCCATCTTTGGCTAATTGGAAGCTCAATAAAAGCAAACTACTGTTTGCTAAAAAGAACAGGGATGTCGATGTATAAGTTACCCATGATTTTTTTAAGTATCTGAATCCGATTATTTATTAAAATATTTAAATTCGATAATTATATAAAAACTTTTAATTTTTCCTATTTAAATTCTACCCATATAATATAAGAAATAATCATTTATTATTCAAACTCGTTAAATATTAGTTTATTAAATTAAAATTTAACTTTTAAATACATATTATTAAAAAAATTAAAATTAATAAATTAAAATTAAAACCCATAATGGGATATTTAATGAATTAATTTAGTTAAATATTATACTTATAATATATAATTTATAAATAATATATATAATATAAAAAATATATTATTTATCATTCAGTTTAGATAGTGGATATCCTAAGATCACCATCCCCTACCTAAATTTGTAACAAATAATAATTTTACTACCCATATCTGATTATAAAATATTCTAATTTTATAGGCTATCCATTGCAATCTCTATTTAAAGGAAATTGATTATCTTGGGCTGATGAGTACACAATCACTGAACTAAATCCCATCGAATGGAAATGCAATAATGTCCCTCACGTGAGGTTTAACGTTGATTTATTGTTTTCATTTTATCAAATTTTGATTGAAATTTGGCGTGTTAATCTTTATTCTAAAGTATGTCTCAGTATACATTTTCTAGTGGATTTTCTATTGTGTGGTTAATGCAGGATCTTAATTCTCACTCCAATACTTTTATACTTTAATTAGGACACTCACGAAACGTTCTAATTGAATCCATCCAAATTTCTTTTTATGGATTTTTTTTTAAAGAGGTCATAAATATGAGAATCTAAGGGACAGAGGAAAAGACCGTAGATATTGAAATTGAAATCTAAATATAATAAAAATTATTTTTTAAAAATAATTACATAAATATCTAAATTAAATCTTGAATTTATGCTTTTAGTTATAATTATTTTTATTTGCAGTTAAGAGTGTTATTCGAAATGTTAGTAAATAGTTTATAATTAAAATTTTATTTAGATAAACGATAAAATTAAAAATAATAATAATAATTACTGTAATTGTGATTAAAAACAATTATTATAAGTATAATTAAAAAAAATTCAATGAAAAATTATATTAAATAAATTCAAACACACCATATAAAAAATACAATAGAATCCAAATTGATACTCGTTAGAACTTTTACTACATCAAAAACCAATTGAAGGTCCACAGAACCTCACACAAGCAACCCATAAAGCCCGCAGAAACAAGAAAATATGGCAGTTATGTTCAATTAACAAAACAACAAGCCCAAAAGAAAAATACTAGTCTGTTCTCAGCCCTTGTGGTGAAACTCAAAGAAATTGAGACTAGCTGCAATTATTCAATCATTTAGCGAGTTCTAGTTGAGAGTCCTATTAACCAACTCTATAGCCTTTATCCTGTTGTGCACTTTTCCAGTTTTCCTAGATATTTCTAGCTCTCTTTGTATTTGCGTTGCTGCGTAGCTGATGAAAGCTGAATCTTGAAACTCATCTGAGTTTTGTTAATCTTCTAGTTTCAATGATGTCTTGACTCTTGACTGCATGTAACATTTAATGGAAATAGTTTTGGTACCTGGACCAAGGTGATGGTTTCAAAGTCTGGCAGACTTTAGTGGGGATTGTGCATTTCGAGATAAATCTTAAGGTGCTGGAAATACTACAAATTGACAATAGGCTGCCTAAACTTGATATATTCGTAGCTGCAATTATGGCCCTTCTATTCCCTCTTTCTGCTTTCTCCTCCCTTAGGTGAATCAAAATGTTAGTTATTGTTGATGTAATTTAATAGATAGTTTGTAAGTAGACTGCAGCAAGAAGATCAAATGCTCTTCATTTCATTGTCCACAGACATATGATTCAGTGCAATCAGTTGGGAGTTCATTCAGATATTCAGTTCGAAGTGTTCTGACATTCTTTCTTGTAGTACTACTACACCAAGTTTCTGGGGTTCTTTTCTATGATAAAAGTTGTGTTTCATTAATTTTTCAGATCCTTGTACCAAATGCCGATGGCTCAGAAGAAATGGAAGCTGTT